CCCTTCCAGGAAACAGCTCTGTGTCTTTCCACTCTGGACGTATCAGACACATTTAAATCATGGTACCTCAGCCTGTCTCTGCCCTCTCTCCCACCCTCTATCCTATGCCTCATTCCAAAGAGATAAGAGAAGTCTCCAAAAGACATGTCCCAAGGAATGCCTGTGGCCCTCAGCCTTTTCACTCCATACTGACTCCAGGACATTTTTTTCCTGTTTGAGTTTTAAAATTGCCAGCCCCATAGCCCTAGAGCTGGAAGGCTTCTGTCCCTTTTATTATTGCTGCTGATTTTTATTAAAGCTGCTGATTTTCCCTTGTTCATCTCTGACCCACTGAATGTCAGGTCCTCTGATCACTGAGCAGGTTCCCTTGAAGGTTCTATCTCCATTTTCCTTGGGAGCTTAATTTCCTGTGGATCCAAGTGGGAGGCTGACACTGAAGTTCTGTTCCCTTTTCCCAGGCATAACGTGAGATTTTAGGTCGATATCTGCCTGGGCATTCTCTGGGGCTGCATTAGTTAGACTGTTTCAGGAACTTGAGTTGCCTCTAGTTCCAAGATCATTCTCTCTGGGGCTAGAGAGCCCACCACTTTTGTGATGTATCTGGATATTTAACCTTTCTAGGCAGAAAGTTCTTTTCAGATTCCTTCAATTTGAGCTCCTTAATTTGATGTTGGCCCCCTAGAGAGATTGTGAGGAAATAACATATATTCTGTTTCTGCCCAATCTGGTCTTGGAGGAGTCAGAAAGCGTGACACATTCTCACGTTTGGAAATGAAGGTCTGTTGTTTTACCTGGCTCTAGGTTTCTAGGTCTTCTCTTCTGAGGATCGTGCTTTCTGTCTTTGAGTCAGAATTGGACACAGAATTGGCAACATTCAGGAGCTTTGGTGGGGAGCCAACTGAACCAGCTAGACCAGACTTTAAAGTTTTGGAATCCTCTTGTGCACTGACCCTTTTCTGTGAAAAGAATAGGATTGTGGATGGCTGAGCTAGTCCCCTCTCCACTGACCCCTGAGTCCCTCATAAGCAGCACTTGGGGGAATTTGGGCAAAATGGAACAAAAGGAGTCCCCTGTTTCTGTGAAAGACATCCTTCCAGGGTTTTAATGGGTCTTTCTAATGAAGTTGAGGTTATATGTTTGATGGTAATTTAGTCCAATCTCTGACCCTTGAGCAGTTTGCTACTCTTCTGTCTTTGCTCACCTATACTCTCCACTGAGGCAGTAGGTGAGGGCTTGAGAAGAGGTCAAGCCCAGTCCTTGTGGAGCAGCTTGGGTACCAGCAACCCTGGCCAGATAGCTTCTTACAGTTTATCCACTCTGCCTTTTTCTGAGTGGGTAGTCATAATTGTCAATTACCTAGTTCCCATCCAGTGATTTTTTTACAGGGCTTGGGTCATCCTGCCTCTCTTTTTTCAATGGTGTGAGCAGACATACCTCTGACATTATTCTGCAGATGGTATAGCCCATAAATGAGCTAAGTTTACTAAACCACTCTTGTTTGGCTGCCTTTCTTCCTGCCTCTCCACCACTACTTTCTTCCTTTTTTGGTGTATGCCCCAGCCCACTCAGGAAGAATTGCCCTTACTCAGCCTGCCAGCTCTACCTGTGGTCCCTCAGACCCTTTCCCCCAGGACCTGGGAGAGGACCGCCAGTGTTGGGTGCTGGCCTGGGAAGATAGTAGGTCTCTACTTTGGATAGACTGCAGCTGTCCTGGCTGCTGTGCAAACTGTCTTCAGGGCCTACAGATGCTGGCATATCCTGGGACTGTGTAGCTCCTCTCTCTCAGGAAGGGTTGGATATGTTGCTTCTAAAGTCTTCAGCTGTATCCTGTCACCAAGGCCCCCCCTCCCGGGGTGATCCCTCTCAGATGGGAAGCTAAATTGTGGGGCTCCTCTGGAAATACCAGAAGCCACCCCACCGCCCAGCACTGTCCATGCTGGGAACACTCTTCTTCCTACGTAGCATTTCCATGGACTTTGCCAGTCTCTTGCTTGTGTCATGTCAGAAGTTCTGTGCATGATGGCCTTGTCTATTCCATATTGTCCCAGATTGCCCAGTGGCTGCTTTTTGTCGATGGTTTGATGTCCCTGAGCATTTTTTTGTACCTCTGGAACCAAGGGGAGGAGCTACTTGCGCAGCTGGGTTCCACAGTGTCAGAGGAGAGCTGGGCACTTGCTTGAGTCTGGCAGAGAGGAAACGGCCTCTTGCATCAGGTTTCAGACATGTGGGTCTTTTTGCTTGGAAGATAGTTCCTGGCCCTTATAACTCAGAGGCTGGTGACTGGGGTGTGACTACAGTCTCCACGGGGCTTTGGGCAAGGAACAAGTATGACTCAGGGCATCTCCATTTATGAGCTGCCACCCTTTGGGGCTGTTGACCTCCCGCTCCTTCTTCACCTTGCCAGCACCTTCTGCCCCACCCTGGTATAATCAACAAAGACAGTGTCTTCTTACTTGGAGATGAGGAGACTACTTCTAAAATTGGGAAATATTTGCTGACTCAGGCTCAAAATAACATCTCAGTGTGTGTATGAGGAACAAAGGAAGAGCCAGTTTTCCTTACGAGCACTCTTTGAGCCCTATATTTAATTATAACATATTAGAGTTACTTTTCTGTCCCCTGGCACCTCTCAGCTAAAGACGTTGGCTTTCTTTCTATTCTGCAGTGTTTTGTGGTGTTTTGGGCATGTACGTGGTACTCACGCAGTGGCTTCTGCTCACCAACAGATGAGGACAGATGCATCAAAGAGGTAATCACATTTCCTTACCCAGGGGCCTCCAACAACAAACACACACATCCCAGATTTAGGGTCCTGGCCTAGAAGATGAAGTTATTTCAGTAGGGCTGAGTCCTAGATGCCAGATGCCTGTCATATCATTTGGACTCATCACTTGAACATAGCAGGCACTTACTAAATATTATTGAATATCTGTGGCTTACTTAGTTTTGGGGGAGTGTTGAGCTTTTCACCTTTATACTCACTAAACTATAAACTCCACAAGGACAGGTATTTATTTTGTTCCCTATTGTGTCTAGGACAGTGCCTGGCACAGAGAAGATGGCTAAATAAATATTTGTTGAATGAATAAATGTATACACTTTCTTCGCTGCCCATATGGGTTCCAGGCCTCAAAGATCATTCTCTTTCATTTATGCAACAAACATTTTTGAGTACTTTCTATATACCGGGCACAGTACTGGCATTTAGGAAATGACAATAGTAAAAAAAAAAACAATCTGTACCTGTATCGTGGGTCTATAGTTCGCTGGCGTGTATGGGAGCTGGGCATAATATACAGATGTGTTTCTTCCGTCTCTGCTGGGGTAGTGGGTCCTCACCAGAGTTTGAACAATGCTCTGGGCTTCCCATTGCTGTTTCCCTGTTCTCAGGATGCCAGGCAGGTTTTATAATTCTCAGAAGGGGAGCTCCAGAGAATTTGATGTTCATTGTCCCAACTGTTTGGGAGGCTGGCCTATGGTGGGGTTCCTGCTGGGGGCCAGGGGAAACATGGGACTCCTTTCTGATTTGTTTTAATCTCTGAAGTTTAGTGATTCCATAGCTGTTTATGGGCTTCACTTCCCTTTCTCTGCCTTTAACACCCTGCGAGTTTTCCTGTTGCCTAACAGGGTACTGAGCCCATGTGTCTGTCTGTCTGTGGGGGGTAGGTTGTTTGTGGATCTTGCAGGAAGGCCTCAGGCAGGAGCCCCTCCTGTTCTCAAACCCATACCAAGTCCTTTCCTATGAAGGACAAGTGAAGGAGGAAGAAGGGGGGTTGGGGAGGCTTCTGAGGTTCCCTGAGAGGGGATAAGGTAGAATTTTCCCCTGAGCAGGAAGAGCTACTGAGTTGAGTTGATTTGCTTTGTCATTTGTTTAGCAGCAGCTAGCCATAGTGGAGCAGTTGTGCATGTCCAGGGGTCAGTTGTTCAATTCATCTCTGAGCTGGGCTCCCAGTTCCAGCCAGAAGTTTTCTTTCTTAGTTTCCCTTGGCAAAGGTGAAGTTAGAGCTTTATCCGATTTTCAGTGTTAACCTAAAAAAACTGTGGTGTTGCCATCTTAGTCTTTTCTACTGAGGCACTTTTGTGGGCAAGGTGTGGTCCTTGGCTGCCCTCATGCTCCGTGTGTGCAGCCTAGTGGGGAGAGAAGACATATGCACAAAAAGATCTTAAAAATATTAGAGAGTTGTTAGGTACTAAGAACATGATACTGTACAAGGATACTCACTTCGAGGAGCAAGTCATCACTCAGGCTGGCTTTGTTCCCGAAAAAGCTAGATTTCGGATTGAGTTGTGAAGAAAGTTTGTTTATTTTGAAGTCAATTTTAGAACATTTTATTTTTAAAATTTTTTTTTAAATGCCAGTTTATTTTTTCATACTATATATACATAATTTTTTTTAACACTTTATTTTTTCCCTCCTTCCTCCCCTCGCACCCCCGCCCCGCTCCCTTCTGGTAACCACTAGTCCATTGTCCATGTCCATGACTCTCTGTTTGTTTGTCCTGTTCATTTGTTGCTTTTAGGTTTATAGCCCACATATGTGATACCATGTGATTTTCAACCTTTTCTGTCTGATTTATTTCTCGTAGTATGATTATTTCAAGGTCTATCTATGTTGTTGCAAATGGCAGTATTTCATCTCTTCTTATGGCCGAGTAAAATTCCATTGTATATATGTACCACAGTTTCTTTAGCCAGTCATCTATCACTTCAGTTGCGTGGCCACTGTGAATGATGCTGCTATGAACATCGGTTTGCAAATACCTTTTTGAATATGAGTTTTTAAGTCTTTGGGGTAAATACCCAGTAGAGGATTTGCTAGATCATATGGTAAGTCAATTCTTAGTTTTTTGAGGAACCTCCATACCACTTTCCATAGTGGCCATACCAATTTGCAGTCCCAACTTTAGAATACTTTAAAACAATGATTGTCAAACTTTTTGGCCTCAAAACCCCTTTACACTCTTGAAAATTAAGAACTTTTATTTATCGAATTAGAAATTAAAAATGAAGAATTTTTTTAAATTACTAATTTATTAATTCATTTACTATAATAATAAACTCATTAGATTTATCATATGTGACATTTTTTCTCATAAGTGACATTTTTTAATGAAAAATAGCTATTTTTCAAGACAAAAAAGTTGCGAGGAGTGGTCTTGTTTTACATTTTTTTTCCCCTCTTTGATTCTGTCCCCTGCTTCCACCCCTGACCTATGGATGTTGCTATTTCCCTTCTTTTAAGAACTGGATCTCTGAAGGTGAGGTGTCTCCCCTGACACACTTGTGGGTGCACTTAGGGCCGCACACCTGGGGTATGGTCCGTGGCTCCACGTGGGGCGCAAACTCAGGACCTTCTGCGTGTAAAGCAGACATGCTAACCAGTACACTATGGAGCCACTCCCTTGTTTTACATTTTTGCTTATCTCTTTCAATATCTGGTTTAATAAGGCAACTGACTTCTTATAACTGCTTCTATGTTCAATATTTTAAAATGTTTTATTTGAAAGATCTGAAGAAATTCTGGTTTCACATAGATATGTAGTTGAGAAAGAGGAGTATTTTGATGTTTTTCAGGTAATTGTGGATATTCTTTTTTGGTATGATACCAAAACTTGACAAGTGGTAATTTAATCTTTAAAGGTTGGAATGTGGAGTTTAAAACCTTATCAACAAACTTTTCATGCTTTGTGACATTAAAATCCATTGGTCCGTCTTGCACTTTATATCGGATCTTTTACTTTGAATTGACCATTGGTTCACTGAGTTATAGGGATCTTCTAAATGTTAACATTTCATTTTACAACATCAGTAAATTATTCATTAATATCACTACTCATCTCATCAAAAAAAGTCTTCAAGTATTGAGAAGCTGTCAAATTCACACTGGCGGATACAAGTTTTCTATAATTTGACTTTTCTCTTGAAAACTTGATTTTTATCATGGGTAACATACTGTCAGGTTTTTTTCTTGAAGTGACAGTCTCATGTCATTCATTTTTAAGAAAAAGTTTATCAAATACCCAAGTCTAAATAATTATAATTTGTTTGTTCATCTTTTCTTTCAAGTAAAATTTATGTTTCATGAAAAAAATGGCTACTTTAGCTTGCAACTCAAACAATTGCGAAAATCCTTTTATTCGAGACAATCGTATAACTCCTGTTTTGTTACACAGAATATTTAAAAGACATGTACTCAAGGGTCACGATTTAATGAAGTTAGTTTTTATTGGTTCATCTGGAACATTCTTAAGTGAAATTGGCACTTTGTCATCTTTAATTGTTCTGTAGGTTGACTGGGCTCAGCTGGGCAGTCTTCACTTGGGGGGCTCTCATGTTGCTATAATCAAATGGAGGCTGGGACAGGAGTCATCTGAAGATTCAGCTGGGCTGAATGTCCACACCAGCTCACTCACATGGCCAGCACTTGATGCTGACTGTTGACTAGGGTGCCTGCATGTGGTCTGTATGTGCCATGTACTTTGGGCTTCTCACAGCATGACATCTGGATTCTGAGCAGAAACATCCCAAGAGTGAGTGTACTGAGAGATCCAGCCATAAATGGGAAGGTTTCTCATGACCTAGCTTTAGAAGTCACAAAGTTTCACTTCCTCTGTATTTTCTTGGTCATAGGACCTGTTTAGGTCGAGGGAGAAAACTACAAAAGGGTGTGAATGCCAAGAGGCATGGTTAATTGGAGGAGAGAGAGGCCTCCTTGGAGACCAGCTCCTACTTTTTAGCATCCCTTATGTGAGATAACCTGATCTGCATATGAATACTTCTAGGAGAAAAGTACATCTTCTCATGATTTCTATTCCTGGAAACCATTGTTAGGAAATTTCTAGTAGGTCGATAGAGGCTATTGAATGCTAGGTGAAGGAATTTTCACTTTATGTTCTTTGGGTCATTGATGGTTTTGAAGCAAGGAGTGTTTGTGTTAATATTGTAAAAGAGTAAATTGAATGGAGAAAGAATGGAGGTAGAGCGGTTAGGTAGGAGACTCCTACAGTTATATAAATGTAAGGAAATTCTACCTCATATTAAATTTGAATTTCTCTGGTTGCTGTTAAAATCATTGATTTTGATCTGTCACACAGATTGGGTACTCAGAGCAGGGATGGGGTAGCACCTCCAATTCCAACCCCTGTTGTTTAGGGATACTGATATACAGGCGAGATCAAAGGGTTCTCAAAAATTAAAAGGCAACTAAGTTTAGGTTTTATTGTCAAGGCACATTTAAAAGTTAATCACAATTTATTAAAAAACAGGAAATATAGAGTTTCCAGTAATACCACTAACAATGTTTCAAATACACTTTAATTTCAATATCATAGACCATTAGGAAGTGAGAAGAAGAAAGAGGATGATAGGGAGAAAGAGAAAGAGCAGGGGAAAGAAGGGTGTCAGGTGAAAACAGCATAAAGAATTTGAAGGAGGATGAGATTGGAGGAACTGCTTGAGACTAAGAGATGGCTCTGCATGGACTACAGTGTTAGCAAAAGGTTGGCTCTTCTCTGGTTCCCTGGGGCCCTGGATCCAGTATTGGTTTAAATTTGACTCTAATTCCATCTTCCCCTCCACTCTTCTTCCTTCCATTCATTCAGTGGGTATTTTTTGGGTACCTGCTATGTGCTAGGCACTGTTTTTAGCACCTCCTGTCTTTGCCCTGTCTCTGTAGCTCTTTCTGTCTGTGAAGAGACCATGGGAAGAGCTGGAGTGGATTTGGTGTTGGGCAAACCTGGATATGACACT